AACACATTTGGATTTTGACTCGAGCACCATTCAGATAAATGATACAGCATAGGCCGGTTTGGTTTAAACAATGGCAGGATCATCGCATGTCATATTTACAGACTGTCAATTAAAACTCGTTCATTATATTTTATTTCTGACTAGCCTTAACTAGCCATTCGAAATACATGTATTAAGCTGAAGTACACAATCGCGAAAAAAAATGTGGTAGTAAAACGACATCTTACCACAAAAATCCCCATGGGCTAATAAATCCGTTCTATGCTCCGTATGGAGGCTTTCTATCGAGTACCTTTGTATCCGTAACCTCCTCCGTTGCTGTTGTATCCGTTCAGGTGATATCCGGTGCGATCACCATATCCGTACCCTTGAAAATTGTAGCTGTTGTCGCCATTTCCACAGCAACCTGTTTGGTCTACAGAGTGAGTCCTTTTACAAAATAAAAAAGACAAATACCTTTTCAATTTCATTGAGATAAAATTAACAATATGAAAAAAGAAAACGTCGCCTTTCAAAAAGTCTTCAGTGGCACTCCGCTTATTAGACATGCAATAAAGGTTGAGCATATCATTTTCTCTATAAAATGATCATTTCTTCGCTTGTTTTGTCTCGATTCTCGAGCGCTGAACAAAATGAAACCACAACACAAACTTGGTTCTAAACAAAGGTTAGCTAGGTAATTTCTACAGCTACACATTAAAAGAATCAACCCCTGTCCGGATCAACCCCTTGTTAATTGTACTATTAGATGATTTGAATGTTGATAAGAGTATATCAATAAACAAACAATGACACCATAGTTAACCTCTCTCTCTCTCTCTCTCTCTCTCTCTCTCACGCACACACACACACACACACACGCGCGCGCGCATACACACACAAATGCACACACGCATACTCACACACACGCATACACACACTAACACACCCATCACACCAAGCGCTCCATGCACCGGTGGCTGTCATGGCGACGACAGCAGCGAGTAGAATCAGCTTCATCATTTTGGCGGCAAAAGAGCTTTCGTCTG